CTACTGCCCTCCTCACCTTTTAATTACCCTCATGTTCTTTGGTATGGCGTCGCCTCGCCGTACGCCTAGGTCGCCTAGGCGTCTGGAAGGGGGCGGCTCGCCTCGCTTCGCCTTACCGCCGTATGAACCATGCTTGACAATAGAGTTAGGAAACTACATAATCAAATCAGGGGACACAAAAAATCTGTCTAATTTTTCCTCAACAAAAGCAGAACCTCTCTTGTTATTAGACCAGGTGAATGGCTGCCCCACTGACATGATTTTCACAACCCCTAAAGTCCTAATAAAATCCCTGAAATTGGAAAAACTAGCCTCCTCTCTTCTCACCCCCCCATTCTTATCAGCTTGACACAAAATATCATTGAAATCTCCACATAAGAACCAAAAGCTACCCCAAGTAAGACTGTGTCTAACAAGAACCTCCCATTGTCTAGCTCTCACAACATTATCTGTGCTAGCATAGACAAACACTCCCCAAAAAATATCAGAAAAGCCCTTAAAACTAAAGCACACTTCTAAACAAAAGCCTAAGCTGTTAACTTCAATCAAGGAAATATTATCAGACCAAGTCAGAAATAATCCTCCCTTCCTGCCTTCAGGCTTAACATAAAACCAATTGTCATGCAATCTAAGATTTTTACACATAGTAATAATAATTTTTTTTTCTTAGTTTCAGAAAGAAAAGCAAAATCTGGGTGGTGGGTCCTTAAGGACTCCTTGAACTGGGAAATTGTAGAGGGCCCTCCCAAACCTCTACAATTCCACACAGAAACCTTCATTGGAAACTGTGTGACCAGTTTGGGCTGGTTTCCTCCACCTCAGATAAGATCATATTCCCCGACAATTTGGCTTTCTTTTCAATCTGAAAGTCACAGTCCTCTAACAAGTTAACCTCAAAAAGACCCTCACACCCTCTTTTCAAAGAATTTTTCTCACAAAGAATGGTACCCACCTCCCCATTCTTATCCACTTGCATAATCTCAGAGGTCAAGCCCTTACTGGATCTAGGCTTCCTAGAAAAAGTAGCCTTTTTTCTTGACCCAGTATTCCCTTCCATGACGGTAGGCAGAATGGTAACTTCTACAAGATCACCATCAGATGAGTCAGGGTTCTTAGAGGCAGAAGCCCCTTCACTACCCTTAGGAATAAGGATAGGATTCTCAAAGACTGCCTGAGCAGTCTCTTCCATAGGTAAGGGGGTCTCAAGTTGGGTAATACCTTTCTCTCCTCCCTGTTGAGTGTCCTGATTAGAGGACACACTATTTCTCAGCCTTTCACCCACTTCACTCCTAGCCACCAACTGATTAGATCTAGTCAATTTATCCTTTTCACTAGATTGACTGCCCTGGTTCAAAGAGCTAGGACTTCTAGAGTGACCAGAAGACACAATTCTAGCCCTTAACCATTCCTCATATTGCCCTATATTCACCTCATTGTTTTTAACATCCCCACTCTTAATCTCACAATTCTTATCAGAATGACCCAGCTTGCCACAATAAAAACAAAAGGTTTGCAGGTTCTCATATCTGAAATCCACCCAAGTGGAATCAGAGCCAACTTTGATCAGAGAACCCCTAGGGAGAGGTTCATTCACATTAAATTCCACTAACACTTTCATAATGTGCCCTAATTGATCACTTGTCCCAGGGAGTTGGAAATCCAGAGTCTTTCCAATCCTTTTCCCTATTTTCAACCCTATATCAAAAGAAGTCCAGTGCAATGGAAGATTCAAAATGTGAACCCAAACCTTAATGACTTCTTCTTCATAGGAAAAGTCATTAGATATAGGACTCCAAAGTTTCATTAGAATATATTGTCCATCAAAGGACCAAGTTTTCCCTTGCAAAATCCTATCCCTATCTTCCTCACGCTGAAACAGAAATTGAAACTTATTATTACTCAAGCTTCTGATATGAAATTCTTTCCTTGTGGTCCAAATACTATTTAAAGTAGTTTTCAGACCATTGAGGTTAGCTTTCTTATCCCCATGAATTTTACCTATAAGACTAAGCTGACATTCTTTGAGACCAGGGATAATTTCATCAACAGATAACTCCACCTCCTGCTCTTTGTCTGAAAGCTTGAACTTAAAGAACCTAGCAGAAAGCTCCTGATCCAAAGGCATAATAACACACTCCAAAACAAAAGACCACCCTACAAACAACAACAAACAACCTACACCTCCAAGAAACCTCGCTCCAACCAACAAACAACAACCCCAAATAAAAAGCAAGCCAAAGCACACAACCAAGATGATGAAACTACAGACAATAAAATCACAAAATCAAACAAGAAAAGCAGAAAAACTAAAACCCCTAGAACCCAAAAACCACCTAAAGGTAAAATAAAAAGAAACTCCCTAAAGAAGTCTAATACCAGCCACAAATCAACCACCAGCACCTACAGGAGTTTTGTTATACAAGCCATATTACGCAATCAGATTATAAACACCAATAGAAATCACATACCACAATGAAACTCCAGCAAAAGCATAATGACGGATGAAGGTAGGCTTGCCGAAATCCACCAGAATCCCAAAACCCGCCCACACAAACTACACCCTACACCATGAGGAAATGAAAGCAGATCTAGAAAGCGGACCGAACAGAGGAAAAAGAAGAGGATCTGCCGACAACAAATTGGAAATTAGAAGCGAAACACACTGGAAAATCACCACGAAAGCTAAATACAATAAATGGAACTGGGAATATCAAAAGAGAACTCAAACCCTAACCAGGGACTCAAAAAAAAAAAAAAAATATGTTGTAAAAAATGGAACGACAAACTTAGCAAAATCAATTATCTTATTGAAATGATTTTATTATCAAATACACATTGAAGAATTAAAATTTATTTTGTTAACTTTAAATAACGAAACCAGTTTAAGTTTGAAAATAATAGTGTGGTGGGTGAGGGGTTAATTTTATATTGTTCACCTTATAAATATGCAATTACTTAAATATGAATATATGCATTAGTTTGACGTGGACCAATGGTACTTATCACTCAATTAATGTGCCAAAATTTATCTCTTATTTAATACTACCTCCTATTTTTAATATATGTCGTTTTGAAAAGTTGCACACTAATTAAGAATATTTTTTTTGTCAATAATAACCTTATTTAATGAAGATAGATATAAATGTTTTGAGAAAAGATGAAGAACGAATATGAAAAGACGTAATGTTTTTATTAGCTAAATGAAGGTAGTAATGAAAAAATATGTACAAAAAATTCAAAACGACATTTATTTGGTTAATAGTTGATAAAGCCAAAATAACATTTAAGAAAAATAGGAGGGAGTAACTTTTCTAATTTTATGTAAGATAATTAGTAGTAACTAGTATTCGACCCTGTGAATTTACACAAATGAAAAGTATTATAAGTTATTAGTGCGTAACCCGTGCGATGCTCGGACTGTATAAATTTTGGAAAATATTATAAAAGAGTTATATGTAAACTTCATCAAGGATCTTGAATAAATAATTTGATGTATACGAAATACTTACTTGTTGCGGAAGACGACATAATTAGTGATATTGATCTTGATGATCACGGGGTTGCATTAATTGGTAGATCTAAATCAGTTTCTCCCTCCTGACCTTCTCTTAACGTAGCAGAAAAGTGATGGGATAAAACTGCGTACCCTAATAGGAGGAGAGAAGACTAATTTATATAGGGGTGACTTTAGATCTGCTACGTCCATAAAGTATCCAGATTAATGGCTTAGATTTGTTTGACTATTAAATAAAGGCCTATCCCAATAGGATAATTAATTGTGAGCCCAATTAATAGGCCTAGAAAGAGACATTAAGTTTCTAGAAAATGAAGGTACATAGAGAGTTTGCAAAAGATCCAGGTGGTGCCCGGAATCTAAAACAATACGATAAGTCCCTATGCCTTCAATTGGGGCCTTCATACGGTTCCCCATGAACAAGAAGTTCTCATTTGGGTTTATGCTTTGGATTGTAAGAAATCCCTGCATCACATTAGAACATGAGTTATAGCACCAGAATCCAACCACCATGTATTTGAAGGAACTTCAGACAAGTTTGATTCGAAACATACAAAGATATTAGAAATACTTTTCTTTTCAAACCAAGACTTGAATTTCGGGCAATCTTTCTGTATGTGGCCTTCCTTCTTACAGAAATAACATTTATTTGCCCGATTTTCCTTCTTTTCATCATTAGTGACCTGTGAAACTTTTGCAGGTCCTTTCTTCTTAAACTTGTTGGATTAAGGTTTGAGAACATCATCAGCTCTCTGACCCATAAGGTTGACCGTATGAACTCCTTGTGCCATAAGTCTCGTCTCCTCCTAAACAAGCTTACTGGCCAATTCATTAACATCCCACTTATTCTTAATAGTGTTATAGTTAATTTGAAATGGACCATATTCAGGAGGCAACGAGTTAAGCATAAATTGCACCAGAAATGAGTCATCAATGGTCATGCCTAGGGACTTAAGCCTTGCTGCAAGATTAGTCATGTCAAGAACATGTTGCTGCATACTTCACGACTCATCATACTTTATGGTCGTGAGTTCAGCCATAAGTGTTGTTGCCAATGACTTATCCGCGGAACGAAAACGCTCTTCCACAAGAAAAAGATATGCTTTCGCATCCACATTATCGGGAAGAGTTGACTTAATGTTGATGGCAATCGTCATTCGCATAAAGCTCAAACATAATCTGTAAGACTTGTCCCAAGCCTTACGGTTTGATTTCTCAGCCTCACTACTTTGATCATTAATGTCAGTGGGCTTTTCCTCATGTTGAGCCAAGTCAATAACCAAAACACCTAATGAAAATTGACTTGCTCATGCTATTAAGAGAAATCAAACCATTGAAGACAGTAATAGAAGAAGCTTGCGAATTGCACAATCATAAACACTCACTTAATTAATAGATTCAGAAAATACATTCATCACATATATTGCAGGTCTCCTTTGGGTAAACACAACAATATATATCATTATCATAAGTCGAATGTCATTTGACACATAATGAGAAATTAAAATAAACTTCGTCTAACATACATATTATCTTTGGATATCTACATACGCTCGACAAACAATATAATATTTCTCCTTAATGCTTATTAGCTATAGAATAATGATTCACCTTTGGGTAAATCCACAATTTCTAACAACCAATAAACTCATTATCTTAAATAATGACATTCTCAATAGAACATAAGTTATATGACCAAACATTAGAAAATTAATTCGGCCACTTTGGTGACTAACAAATTAATTTTCTCTTAATGTCATATAACAAGCACTTGTAATAATAATATTATATGACCGGACATTAAAAAATTAATTAGACCACTTTGGTGACTAACAAATCAATTTTACCTTAATGTCATATAATAAACGGTTATAACGATAAATTATATGACGGAACATTAAAAATTAATTAGGCCACTTTGGTGACTAACTAATTAATTTTACCTTAATGTCATATAACAAACCATTATCATGATAAAAAATTATATGACTGAATACTAAAATTAATTAGGCCACTCTGGTGACTGACAAATTAATTTTATTTTAATGTCATATAATAACAAATAATCATCATGTTAACAAACTAACCCTTATAATTCATAAACATAATGGGAGTTTGTCAATTCAATCATCATCATCCAAAACATATAAATTCTTTCATCACAATTGCAGTAAGATGAGATGATCAACATAATGAAAAGAATTAAACAATGCTCAACCATAAACATGCTTGGGCCATAAAAATATATATGCATCATGTGATCAACACAAGATTCAAATATATGCAATAATATCAATTCATAATGCGTGACCATGCTTCCATCTCTTCCATCCAAAAAAAATTCATATGTCCACTCATCATCAATTTGCTCACACAAAATAATTCAAGCAAAATAAGGTATCACAAATTGATCAAATAAATAATCAATCGATTGGTTCGACAAAATCAAACAAACCCAAACAACATCTCATGCGTCATTAAGAAATTGATAGGCCGACGTGCATGACTAAATTAAAATCGCTAACCCCATCAAAAAATTCATGCGATTAAATTTTTCAGTCATCACTACATAACGAGATATGCTCGTAAAATTCATACAAACAAATTATTTATTCACAACACATGCTCTGATACCACATGTAAACTTCATCAAGGATCTTGAATAAATAATTTGATGTATACGAAATACTTACTTGATGCGGAAGACGACATAATTAGTGATCTTGATCGTGATGATCACGGGGTTGCATTAATTGGTAGATCTAAATCAGTTTCTCCCTCCTGACCTTCTCTTAACGTAGCAGAAAAGTGATGGGATAAAACAGCGTACCCTAATAGGAGGAGAGAGGACTAATTTATATAGGGGTGACTTTAGATCTGGTACGTCCATCAAGTATCCAGATTAATGGCTTAGATTTGTTTGACTATTAAATAAAGGCCTAGCCCAATAGGATAATTTATTTGTGAGCCTAATGCAAGTGTGAGCGTCCTGGTCCGGTTTGGAACGAATCGATCTTTATCCTCCCCGGTAGAATGCCAGAAACCTGCAAGTAACTCTCACACCGGGGGTTGTGTCCGGTGAAGAGCCTCCGATGCTTAAGTTAGTATGTGTATGAGTATACTGGAGTGAAGAATGAATAGAATGTGTTTAGGGAGAAAGGCTCACCCCCTTTATATAGGGGTGAGATACCTGCCTTAATAGCTGCCCGGATAAGGTGAGCTGGCTGCCCAAGCTGCCCATCCGTACTCTGACACACCGCGCGCATGTCAGAGGTTGCGCGGGGGCGTTGGGGAGCTGTCAGAGGTGGTTATCGATATCCACCAATGTATTCTAAAAACGTGTCCCCCTGCACATGGGGTAAATATTCTCTTGAGATTCGGTTAGAGGTTCCTACACGCGCCTATGACTAGGCTGACTGTTAGGTCCTCGAAGCAATCGAACTGATGAGGTCGAACAGGTTGCTCGATCGCTTATCTGGTCGAGCGATGGATTTGGTCGACTATCTGCCTGGTCGATTATCTAAATGATCGATCCTCCCGCCTTTTGGCTTGG